ATCTGCGGCCGCCTTGATCTCACGAGGTTATCGTTGCCTACGTATGCATGACGTCAGAGCAAGTTGGCGTCAAGTCGGACACAGATCTAACCGGCATGCACTGCTCGCCGATCACCGGTGATCTAATCTGCGCAGAACTGGCTCATCTCGAACACAGCCAATGGCTCAAGTACAGCAAAGCGGAGTTGGTGATGTACTACGTTGTATGCCATAAGTATGTGACGACAAAATCGAGTTTTGTTGAGGGAACAAACAAATTCAAACTTGAATACGTTATTATGTTTGTGAATGTGTACAAAATGAAGGTTTATTACATTTAAAATGGTTCAGTTGTTATTTTGACTCATTTTGGCAGCTGACCAGCGGGGCCGGTAGATTCTTGGCAGGGCCGGTAAATATTCAGAGTTACCGGCCCGGCTGGCCGGTTGGTTTTGAAGTTAATGTCCACCCCTGAATGAGTTTCTGGCTACGCTAATGGTGACTTTTGACAGACTTCTCTGAGCTCCGCAGCCATTACACTTTTCACCTCGCGCACCCCGTAGCGGCAGCTCGCGCACCACACTTTGGGAATCCCTGCTTTAGACAATATAAGCCACTCTCTACCATCTCTGTTGTGTTTAAAATGTTCATGTGTTTCTTCATGACTCATAATGCAGGTAAAACTAGTGTCTTATGAGCTCCTGATGAGCCAGCAGTGCCCAATACTGGTCCTCCAGGACCTAGACATAGATTATTTTAGAGGTTTATCTGTGTTGGAGCAGAGAAATGACTAAAACATTCTGGGTAGTGGTTCTAAAGGCATGGCAGCTGATCTAGTTATAGCCTTAATGTGACCAGTAAAGCTCAAGTCTGAATCAAATATGACACCAAGATTTCTAACCTGAGTCTTTGTCTTTACTCCTCTGGTGTCAAGCTGAGTATTAACCTCCATCCTATCCTTCTTATTTTTAAAGACAATAACTTCAGTCTCGTTTTTGTTTAACTGGAGGAAGTTTGACTGCATCTAGTCATTAACTTGCTCCGAACACTGATAGAATGACTCTAGAGGACCACAGTCACTTGTTGACAGAGCTAGGTAGATCTGAGTGTCATCTGCATAACTGTGAAAGGTAATTTTGTTGTTGTATATGACCTGACCCAGGGGGATCATGTAGAGATTGAAGAGCAGTGGTCCAAGAATTGAACTCTGAGAGACCCCACGTCATGGTGATCAGTTTTGATTTGTGATCACCAATAGAAATGAGCAAGATTGGAGACTATAAACAAGAAAATTACATTAGCACTTCTTATTTTTATATTTATAAAGGAAAAAAGCATCAAGGGTGAGTTTTTCTTTATTAGAGATGCTTTTCTGCCCTTCTCATTTTTAGAGACAAGGGACCATGTTTAAACCAGGGAAAGGTTCGTGCGGGAAAAGAAAATGTTTACATCAAACTGCAACATTTCTTGAAGGTGTAGTTTGTTCATTTAATCAATGCATTTAAAGCTGTCTCGACTAGGAATGAATGCCTTACAGGCCATAAGGTCATACTCCGGGCACAGAAAAGCCCACAAACCCCTGGCATGGCAGGACCAAGTCTGCAACATCAAAGATGTGATTTTTAGACATCTTGCCTCGAATTGGATAAAAGCAATGCGACTTTACCACTGACATGTATGCTTTATCTCCACAAATAACACATGCCTGGAGGAGCTTCAGCCATGTGAATGAGTTGCTAATGCTAGCGGTTACCTTCTGTTGGCTGAGAAGTTATCTGTTGGTTCTGGATGCTAAAACAACAACAGCTTTGTTATTGTTTTTTTCAGTCAAGCACATCTTTAAAAGTTTTTTCTGTTACATGTGAAAACAGCGGTTCTTCATGACCCCATTTTTAAGTAACCATCTTAATAAATTTAGTCACGTTGTGTGAATGTAGTTTATGCATAAGATTAGCCTTATGAGGCAAACATAAAAACTAAATGCTTATCAAATGATGTTAAAAATTCTCCAAACAGATTTAAATAGGAAGCCCTAAAGTTGGAAGCAGCAACTTTTCAGGATTTAGCAAGGAATTCTCACTCATAAAAAGGAAAAAACTGATTTTAATTTTACCTGAATAAAAATAATCAGGCCGACACAGTCAACAATTCTCAGCTTCTAGAAAATGATGAGTCCTCCCACTTGAACACCATTAACCCTCTGGGGTCCATGGACGCGTATCCGCGTCTTTTAAAAAAGTCTGATTTGGGACGCTGTAGCAGCAAGACTCCGCCTCCCTGAATTTCGGTTTCAATTCAGCTTTAAAAAGGAGATTATAAACTACACCCCAGTTTTTTAAATTTTGTTAATAGGCAACGTAAAAGCGGAGTTATACTAAAATAAAAAAAACAACCTTTTCTTAGACAAACTTGTCAAAACAGCAGTTTAGTAATCCGTGAGAGGGAACGTGCTTGTGAACATAAAAAAAAAACACAAAAACATGAGATCCTTTTGTTGTTGGTGGAAGTCTCACATATTCAATTGATAAAAAGTATCATTATGTAGCTGAGAGAGAGAGGAAGGCCGCACGAGTAACGAGATGTGCGCAAAAAGGAGCCGCTTCGCAGGGCAAGGAATGACGCGAACGGAGTAACAACAAACAACTAGACAGATATTGATGGTAAACTTCACATTTTGGAGCGATCCGGACAGATATATTGTCTCTGCAGTTTAGTAGACTTTTATTAGGCTTATATAAAGGATGATGAGAAGGATAAATGTCCACCAGGCAGTTCAGCTGTTTTTTGAACTGGAAGCAGAGGAAGTGGATGGAGACTCACAGCCGGAGTCTGAGGCAAATAGCGAGGATGTTGATGACGATGTGGAAGATCTATCCTTCGTCATAGAAGAGTTGGGTCATGATGAGAGGATGAAGGCAGAGATCCAGCTCCTTGGAGATCCAACAAGAGGAGTGGGCGGCGCCGCCCAGCTGTCAGATCTCGATCTCCGCGGCGTGAGACAGAGCCACTCCCCACTCCAAAATGCCGTTGTCGTCATCGTCTTCCTCCGCTTATCCGGGTCCGGGTTGCGGGGGCAGCATCCCAACTAGGGAGCTCCAGACCTTCCTCTCCCCGGCCTTCTCCACCAGCTCCTACAGCAGGACCCCAAGGCGTTCCCGGACTAGATTGGAGATGTAACCTATCCGACGTGTCCTGGGTCGACCCGGGGGCCTCCTGCCGGCAGGACATGCCCGAAACACCTCCCCGGGGAGGCGTCCAGGAGGCATCCTGACCAGATGCCCAAAACACCTCAACTGGCTCCTTTCGATCCAGAGGAGCAGCGGTTCTACTCCGAGTCCCTCCCGAATGTCTGAGCTCCTCACCCTCTCTCTAAAGCCCCCTTCAGACAGGCCAAGAAAAACGGAAATGTTCAGGACTCTGTCCGTAAGACCTTTGTGTCTGAATACAAACATCCGGATAACGTGTTCCGTAATTAAACCGGACGATGCCCCTTGTAACAGGTCCGGACTTGTTACGGACAAGGTGGCTGCTTCAGACTGGTGAGGTCGAGTTCCGGACAGGGAGGAGGGGGAGGAGGAGGGGACCAGGGGACGCTGTGCGCTCCTAGATAGCTCGCTCCTGTAGCATGTGGCAAACCATGGCAGCTCGCCTCCTACGGTACCGTCTAGACGCGCGACGGAGCGCATCACACCGCTTCCGTGATTCCTTTAACCATTGAGCGCCATCATCCAGGTCTTATGCGTCTTCGTGTGCGCAGAATTATGCTTAACATAAGTCCGGGTTGGGGCCCGTGAGCGAGCGCCTGGTGGCCGGGCTTTCGCCCATGGGGCCAGGCCGGGCCCAGCCCGAACCGGATACATGGGCTCATCCAACTGTGGACCCACCACCCGCAGGAGGATCATGAAGGGTCCGGTGCAGTGTGGATCGGGAGGCAGACCTAGGCGGGAGCTTTGGCGGTCCGATTCCCGGACAAGAAAACCGTTTTTTGGGACATGGAACTCCAAAATGCAAGTACATTATTGCCAAATTAATTAAATAAATATAAATTCCGATAGTCCAGGTTGTCCTGAAAAAAATGATACCCTATAAGGCAATATTTATTGTTTTTATTAGAAAATACAAAAGAAAAACCAAAATTAGTCAAAAACGGTGATTTACACCCTGGACCCCAGAAGGCTAATAATTTTTTTTATTTGTTATTTGCTATATTTATTCATATTTTTTTTATAAATGTACAGTCTAGATTACCATTCTAAATTATAAAAACATTCGTCATAAATGTTTGTTGGTTTCACAGTAAAATAAGCAACTTTTTTTCAATTCGGATTTTATGTTTTTGAGTGATTTAAGGTCTAATATGCAACTCGTTTATGTCCAAATATAAAAAATAAGTATATATTCATAAAGTCCAGGTTGTGCTGAAAAGATTGATACCACATAAGGCAGTGGTTATGGTTTTTATTTTGGAAATACAAAGGAAAACTCTAAATTAGTCAAAAACGGCAAATTACACCCTGGACCGCAGAGGGTTAATTCAGTTTGGATGTTATTTGTATCATTAACAGGATCTTAGCTGTAACCTTGCTAGAGGCCCTTTGCAGATGAAATGTATTAAACACAAGAAAATATCAAGACACAAAAGTTCCTCTCAATTAGGTTAAGAGTGTTACTGATGTGGCTGCAGACTTGGGTCAGACTGTGTCGACTTTAAAATGTCAGCGAGCCAAAACTTAGAAATAATAGATGCTTAATTTCTATCGTGTAAGAGGGACAAAAAATATGCAAGAAAGTTCTTTTTATCTTCACAAAATATTAAAATCCAATCAATGAAGTGACTTTCCATGGCTACCATGTTAACTGATATGAAACATTGATTTCATCAGGTTTCTCATGTGAACCCGATGCTAATTAATACGAGTCAGTTTGAAATAAATACTGAATGAACTGAACTGAGGTGTAGGATGAAGTAATGGATTTTATGGTGTTCAAGTATTAAGTTAAGCTCTGATCGGTGTTCTTACCCATCTCTGCCTTTACTGATAATCTTCACCTCAAAGTAGTAGACCCCACAGGCCGCTGGGATGGGGTGAGTGGCCCGTACAGATGCTGCATCCTTGGGGGTTTTGCCATGACCTTCGAGTGGATCAAAACACAAAATGTTCTGGTTATTACAAACCGAGCTTTATTAATCAGGAACAGTTAATGCTTGCTGTAGCAGCTGACTGAACTAACTCTAATGTTCATCTTGATCAAGAGACCGTGTGTAGATTAAATCAACCACTCTGGGTTAGAATAACCCCATCCAAGTTAATCACAGAGCACTGAAAGGTCAGATCAAAGGGTACTTATCAAAGTTTTAAACCCTACACCAACAGACTCCTACACAGAGACCAAACAATATCAAACCTTCAGTTGAATTAGACCAGAGTAGAAGTGGGTCACACACACACACCTCATATAATGCTACAAGCTAAGCTAACATTTATAGAGAAAACAACTAGGAGGAAAACTAACTTGTCCACAGTTTAAGATTCTTGAATTTATTCTTTATTCAGTCAAAAAAACATAATAGTATAATCAATAAAACATTACATTACATTTAAAGTGACTGAAAAGGCTCAGGCTGAAGCAACATGCTTATATTTATGCCTGTCCTTTTTAACCAATTAAACAAATTAATCTACCCCTTTAACACATAAATATGTACAATTTAAGCAAAAAATAGAAAAGGAGAAATATACACCATATAGTCATCATAAGTTCACAATATTCTTACATTTACAACACAACTTATTATAATACTATAAATAATATATATAAGGTTAAAATACTTAAGTATTACTTAACCTTTACCAAGTGTAATATTTAAATTATTAAGTTCTCTACACAACGAACAACAGCATACTGGTTTATTTCTTCTCCAAACAAGAAGGAACACATGATGCATCAGTGGTTAGAAGATTATCTCTGAAATGTTCTGAACCGGAACCTCCTGTGCTCTGATTTGTGAACCTGCTCATCCTGTTAGTCTTTAAAGCTAACATTAGCTCAAGAAGCTAGAGCGCAGAGCTGTCAGAAGCATTATTAGAGCTCATAGGTCAGCCATGTTTACTCTTAGATGTTACTCGGCAGCAGTTTGGAGTCTCTAGGACACATAAATGATAAGGCTGCTCAATTATCTCTGATGGAAGCAAACTAAGTCACATCAGGTAATAAAGTCATGGGTTATTTGCTGAAACCCAAAAAGAGTTAGGGGATTTAGAGTAAATTATTACATTTTAAATTTTTTACATTACCACTTTTATCAAATCTGTAAATGCTACCTGGCTAGTTACCAATAATGGGGTGATGTGTCATCACAGTACCAGAATAATGTAGTCATATGGGACATATGTCTTTAGAATAACTAGACCTACATTCATTTACTCTTGTTGTTCAGGTTAGGTCACAATAACAAATAATTGAAAATGATAAAATTGTCCAACAACTATTTTTCTTGAAAATTGTTCTGTATGTACAAATGTCAAACTTCTAAAAGAAATGCTCTGATATTAAAAATAATAGTCGTTTTCAGTGTGAGATCTGACAGGTTTTAACACCACACACACACAAACACAGATTTCCAATTAAATTAAAAATAGACCCATTCTGTACATTAGTTTTGAGTTGTAAGCTATTTTATGTGCAATTTCGTCAGCCTGCTTCAACCTAAACGTCTAAAAACGTTGATGTAAGTAAATCATAAATAAACAGATTTTTTTAAGCTCTAAATTACACAGAACAACATGGTTAGGCCTTAAACATTGGGTTTATGCAATGACGAAAACAAAAGTTCTGAAATATCGCGTGTTATTGAACAAAAGCAGATCATTTTATTAAAAACCAGGGAGAAAGTGGTCAGAGGCCCAGTCAGACCCAGAATAGCAGAACACACCCAGGAAACACAGTTGCACCTTTTTTCTGCCAGCCTTTCTTCTAGGCCTGCACCCAAAACCTTCATTACAGCTTTGCTAAGCAACTAGTCCAACCTGAATGTCAGACAAGACACTTGATATTAAATCCTCGGCAGCAGGGAACAGCCCGTGTCTAACCCGTCCCATCGCGGAAGCCTAAAAACAATCATTCTGGGGCTAATCTCGACATTTGACACAGTATTTCCTCACATTTCACATCCCAATAATGAAATTAGCCTCTCGGGTCTGAATGAAGTCGCTTGAATCGAGCCAAACCACTTCTGAAATGAGCTGTGTTGAAGGACGAATTTACTGTTCTGGGTAATTTGTTGAATTTTAGCAGCCAGAAATCTGCTGTTGAAGCTTCGTGGTGACAGTTCATTGGTTTGACAAACTGGTAACAGGCTAGCACCAAAGCTAACGAGCTAGTAGGTGAATTTTGGCTCTGGCTACACCTGACCAGCTGGTTTGGTTGCAAGATGTCCTCTCAGTCTTGTTGTTGATGAACCTACTTTGTTTTTAGCCACAACGGCAGCTGCCTTCGATGCCGTGGAGTTAAGCTAACGCGTTAGCTTGGTGCAATAAAGTGCTAAACTTGAGAGTGTCTTTGTGTCATACCTTTATAGTGTACACGGAGATTGTTCTGAGACAACCCGATGTAGCTGAACTTGTCCTTTGGGCTCCAGGACCGCGGGAGCGGGGTCTCGTTTTCATTAACGGCTGGATAGAGCCGTCGAAGTCGCTGGTTGAGCTCCTTTTCCTGCTCGTTCAGAGCCGAGTCTCCATGGACAACAACCGACATCAGAAACCCACAACCCGTCGTCTGTCCGGACATGACTACGACACGGCGTTCAGTAAAAGTGGCTTGTCACTAGCAAGCCAGAAGCACTGGAGTCAGTCAGTGTCAAGTTTTAAAGGATGTTTTAGCAAAGCTAGCTAGCAGGCTAAGCTAACTGGCTTCGCTGTTCGCACGGAGGCAGCCAGAGCTGGTTGGCCAAGCAGCTAACCTGGCTAACGGCTTTAGCTTGGCCAGCAAAGGCAAAGCGATCGCTGGAACAGATCAGGTTGACATTAGCTTACACAAAGCCACAAATAGAGACAGGAAGAGGACGATATCTGCCGCATAGGAGCTGATGAAAGTAGCTGAAACACAAACAAATAAGTCTGTGCAAAGAGCAAAGTGACTAGAAACGTTGGACTAGGCGCTTCGACAAAGTAAAATGAGCTCAGCTAGGCTCGATCTTTTGTTTGTTGTCGAAGCGTTATCCGTGAATGTGATTGGCTGAGAGCAGCTCAACTCACTTCCTATGGGAATGTGGACTCAGATGAGCTGAATGGGTGTACAGCAGCCAGCAGCATGCTGAAGGTGGTGAGCCACATCTGGAGTTTGACAGGACAAGGACCATCATCATTATAATCATTTATGTGAAGCATATAACATTATTATCTCATGACCAAGAGTGCAGCATGTGATTAAGGGATATAATCACATGATGTGGCCTAAAAGTTAAATAAACTGTACATGTAAAAGTGAGTGTTGTTGATTTTTTTGTTGTTACTTTTATTTTTGATTCGCAGTGTAATTTAGAATTGGCATTTTACGTTACTGTCATCATTTTGATTTGATTCTGGTAAGAAATCATAGCCAAACCACTTCTGAAATGAGCTGTGTTGACACTCTCATTTTTTTCTGATAATTATCACAGGTGGCATCACAAACACGTTTTGATGTTTACGTAAGTGTTTGTATTTAAGTGTTCCTTTTTTCAGGATTGGGGAAGAAAGTACCAGCCAGGAAAAGTGTTCAAGCATAAGGAAGCTGCAGTTTAAACATAATGAAAAACAGTTTACAGTCATGCCAAATAAAATGCTCTAATCTGATTAAACTGAACTTGCAGGATGCATGGAACAAATCAGATCTAGTAAGTTTTTAAACATTAAAGAGCAAGTCACCCCCTACCAGACTATTATTCTGCTCCCACTTCCTGTTTGAAACATGCAACAAATGTTGTTGCCTAGCAGACTGAGAGGGCGGAGCCACTAACAAATACACACACACAGGCTCACAACGACATTGTGACATCATATGGTACCAGCTAATGTTCTAGGGTACCTCTTAGCCAATAGCGATGGCAGATTTAAATTCAGCTGCAGTGCAGAGTTTTTACCTGACAATGGCACAACACTGACAGTTTTAGGTAGAAGATTAAAATTTTAACTAAAATGCAGTTAAGTGCAAAACTATTTACTACACGTGTCTGCAGCACGATTAGACACGCATTTATTAAGTTTATCAGAAAAAATAAGTTGATTTGGGGGTGACTTGCTCTTTAAGCATAATTTTTGGGAATGCTTTTCTGCAGCATGGACTTGGATCCTTATCATAAATAAAAATGATTTCTGTGCAGACAGAAAAATATTTCATGCATAAACCAAAGCATAATTTGAAAGATGAAGAAAAGACAGCAGCAACTCAGAGGTAGATTTGTGTTCAATCTGCATGGATCTCCTCTTTGACTCTAACTAGCAGGACTTCCTGTAGAAGCTGCTGTGAGGCTTAAGGCTCTAATTTTATATATAAAAAAGCTCTACAATTCTTTTATTTGTATAAAGCTCAACATAAAGCACATTTTAGCATTGTTGCTGCAGACAGGTTGGAAGTGAAACACTGGAATTTAAGATCAGCCTGAAACACAACATGTGGAATTGGGGTTTTAAAATGTTCGGCAGCATGGATGCTATGAGACCTCTGGGGGTTTAAAGCCTTTTAGAAGATTTCCAGACGGCCTTATTAGTAGAAAACATTTCTCAGTGAAATTCACGGAAACCAAATTACTGAAATAAACTGAATGATGCTTTATTAAACTCTGAAGGTCTGCAGGATAGTCCAACAAAGGCTCAGGAATGTCAAATGTTTCATGAGCAAAGTAAATGAAGAAGCATCACATCCAAACCAGCACCAATAAAACCTGAAAATTGTAAGGTTTTGCAGCTTAAAAAACAGAACGAATTTTTCTGAAACCATCCAAAAAAAATCCAAGTTCAATTTAAACTCAAGCATGTTGCGTTCTGATCCAGTAATAAAAGTAAAAACTATTATTATTTTTCATCTTCTTTGTTTCATTTGGGATTTTGGAGCATGTGTGTGTGTGTGTGTGTGTGTGTGTGTGTGTGTGTGTGTGTGTGTGTGTGTGTGTGTGTGTGTGTGTGTGTGTGTGTGTGCGCGTGTGTGTGTGTGTGTGTGTCTGTGCGTGCGTGCGTGTGCGTGAGTGTGTGTGTGTGTGTGTGTGTGTGTGTGTGTGTGTCATCCTATGATAACAAGCAGCCCAAAATCAGTTGTTGCAGATCACAATAGACATTTTCCCTGCTTGTCAGAGAAAATCAACCATGACAGTAAACTCTTGTGAGAAACATCTAAACTCATTTTAGCTCCGCCCACTGCAAGCTGTCATCAGGACCAACCGCTGGAGGTAAATCAACAAGAACAGCAGCCGTTCTGGATCAAGACCACTTTAAAAGTTTACTAAAGTTTGATTCACTGAAAGTGAAGTATAAAGAAATAAGGGACAGCTGAAGCCTCCCTGGGCTGTCACCTTACCGTGGTGGAGGGGTTTGAGTGTCCCAGTGATCCAGGAGATAAGTGGTCTGAGGCTTGATGCCTCTGGCAGGGTCAACCATGGCAAACAGGTTCTAGGTGAAGAATCAGACAAAGAGCAGCCCACTGACCCATTACGTAGAAAAGTAAACATAGAAACAGTGTTCCGTTGCCTGGACAAGAGTCACCAGGGCCCCCCTCTGGAGCCAGCCCTGGAGGTGGGGCACGCTGGCGAGCGCCTGGTGGCCGGGCTTTTACCCATGGACCCTGGCCGGGCACAGTCCAAAGGGGAAACATGGGTCCCCCTTCCTACGGGCTCACCACTTGAGGGAGGGACCAAAAGGGTTGGGTCCGGTCTCCTTCCAGCGACTCCCTCATTCTGCTGGGGGACTCTAACGCTCATATGGGCAATGACAGTGAGGCCTGGAGAGGTGTGGTTGGGAGGACCCCCCCCCCCCCCCGATCTGAATTAGAACTGTGTTTTGTTATTGGACTTCTGTGCTAGTCATGGATTGTCCATAATGAACACCATGTTCAGACATAAAGGTGTCCATATGCGTTCGTGGTACCAGGATACCTTAGGCCGCAGCTCGATGACCAACTTTGTTGTCGTTTTGTCTGATCTGCAGCTACATGTCTTGGACACTCGGCTGACGAGAAGGGCGGGGCTATCATGTGACCACTATGTTTATGTTTATTCATTTAGCAGACGCTTTTATCCAAAGCGACTTACAATTTATAACCTATAGGACATGTTGTGATCTACTACCTGGTGGTGAGTTGGTTTCGATGGTGGGGGAGGAATCCGGTCAGACCTGGCAGGCCCAAACGTATTGTAAGGGTCTGATGGGAACGCCTGGCAGAGTAAGAGGCTCAAGAAGGAGCTTCAGTTACCACCTCTGACAGAACTTCCAAAATGTTCCAGGGGAGGCAGGAGACATTGAGTCCGAATGGGCCCTCTTCTGTGCCTCCATTGTTGAGCCAGCCCACCAGAGCTGAGGCCGCAGGGTCGTTCACGCCTATCGTCGAGGCAACTCCCAAATCCGTTGGTAGACACCGGCGGTTAGGGATGCTGTCAAGCTGAAGAAAGAGTCCTAGCCGGTCTTTTTGGCCTGTGGGACTCCAGAAGCAGCTGGTAGGTACCGGCAGTCCAAGCGGAATGCGGCTCGGTTGGTCGCGGAGACAAAAATCTGGACGTGGGAGATGTTCAGTGAGACCATGGAGCAAGACTTCTGCACTGCTTCAAGGATATTCTGGTCCACCATCCGGCGTCTCAAAGGGGAAAGCAGAGTGCTACCAACACTGTTTATTACGGTGTGCTGCTGACCTCTACTCGAGACATTGTGAAGTGGTGGGCAGAATTCTTTGAAGACCTCCACAATCCCACTGACACATCTGTCAGGGAGGATGTGGAGACTGGGAACTTCGGGTTGGACTCTCCGACCTCTGGGGCCGAGGTCACTGACATGGTCAAAAAGCTCCTTGGTGGCAAGGCCCCGGGGTGGATGAGCAGCCGAGTGTGAAGCAGCTGGGATGAGAATCAGCTCCTCTAAATCCGAGACCATGGTCTTGAGTCGGAAAAGGGTAGAATGCCTTCTCCAGGTCAGGGATGAGGTCCTGCCCCAAGTGAGGAGTTTAAGTATCTCAGGATCTTGTTCACGAGTGAGGGAAAGCTGGAGCGTGAGATCGACAGGTGGATTAGTGCTTCATCTGCAGTGATGCGGGCGTTCTACTGGTCTGTTGTGGTAAAGAAAGAGCTGAGCCAGTGAGCAAAGCTCTTGATTTACCGGTCGATCTACGTTCCCACCCTCACCTATGGTCACGAGCTTTGGGTAGTGACCGTGTGACAGCAGTGTCTGTCACCTCATGGACATGGTCTGCTGGTAGTGTTTTCTGTGTTCTGTCCAGGATGACTGGTTGATGTGCACACAATCAGTCTTCTGTTTATGAATGCATGTGTTAATTTTGTACTTCTACTTTGAGTTACCGGTGACTTGGAGTTTCCCATGGAGTCCCACACCTGCAGCTCATCTCCTCATGAAGCCTAATCGGCACTCCTGGGATCTACCAACTCCCAAGGGAGGGGAGATTCATGTTTATGCTTGTGTTTAATTTAATGCAGATATTTTCTGTTATGGATAGGAAGTTTGTAATTATGATTTAGTTATTTGAGTTACCTGAATTGATTAGAGTGGTTAGTTTGTGTGTGTGTGTGTGTGTGTGTGAGGATGTGTGTGTTAATTGTATGTTAATTGTTCCCCTCTTGTATGTAGAGTGGTCTGATCAGCCACTATTTAAGTTGATCCTGGTGTGTCTGAAATGTCTCTTGTTTTCTGGATAGAGTCTTGTGCTGTGATTAGGTTAAAGTTCCTTTAACTGTGAAGCTGTTCCAAAATAAAATGGTGTTTTGAGTCTAATGAGCAGTGCTTCTCTGGCTGGTTTTTGCAAGTCCCTGACAGACCGAAAGAACGAGATTGCGGGTACAAGTAGCCAAAATTAGTTTTCTCCGCAGGCTGGCTGGGCTCTCCCTTAGTTAGAATGAGAAGCTCGGTCATCTGGGAGATGCTCAGAGTAGACCCACTGCTCCACTACATTGAGAGGAGGCAGCTGAAGTGACTCGGGCATCTGTTTAGGACACCTCCCTAGTGAGGTTTTCTGGGCACGTCCAACTGGGAGGAGGCCTAAAGGGAGACCCAGGACACGTTGGAGGGACCATGTCTCTCGCCTAGCCAGGGTAGGCCTTGGGGTTCCCCTGGAAGAGCTGGCCCAAGTGGCTGAGGAGAGCAAAGTCTGAGCTTCTCGACTTAGGCTGTTGCCCCCGCGACCCGACTCCGGATAAGCGGAAGAGAATGGATGGATGAAAGCCTTTGCAAGTTCATGTCCAATAAAACATTTATACAATAGTCAATCGCATTTTTAAACCAACATTCTAAAACATCAAATTATGCATTGATTCCCAAAAGTCCATCACAGGAACACAGACTCATAAAATCAGTCAAACCTTTTTAATATTTAGAATTTCCACAGTGTTTTTGACCCATGGGAGTAACCAGAGAAAGTCCATGCTTCCATGGGGAGCGCAGAAAAGAAGGAGCTGGGAGTTGAACTTGTGACCAAAAGCCTATGCTACCAACAGCACCACCATGCAGTCCAGGAGCTTTTTATGAAACCCTTCAGCAAAAAATCTTCTTATTTGTAATCTTTCCTCTGCTGAAGCATCTAAGTACTGTAAGTGGTCATTGTTTTATTTAAATTTTGCTTCTGTAATAAATATAAAATAAATAAATTAGACTATTATGTGATTGTTATATTTATATAAGCAACGTTAAATATATGTAACTGAGTATGACTTTGTGTCAGGAGTCAAATCATTCAATTCAGTTCAATTCAATTCAAAAATCATCTGCAGATTGATCCTTATTTACTTACTTTTGTGTGTTTGCCTAAATTTGGGCAAGGTTTTTATTACTGTTAGATTTGTTTTTTTTAAAGAGCAGTGAGAAGTCACCCCCTACAAGAAACTTACTTAAAGAGCAAGTCACCCCAAATCACTTTTTTTTTTCTGATAAACTATATAAAGGATTGTCTAATCGTGCTACAGACACGTGTAGTCAATAATTTGGCACTTCAGTGCATCTTGGTTAAAATTCAAATATTATGCCTAAAAATGTCAGTGCTGCACCGTCGTCAGGGAAAAATTCTGGACTGTATTTGAATTTAAATCTGCCACCGCTATTGGCTAAGAGGTATGCTATGATGTCATCTGGTACATTATGATGTCATAATGCCATTGTGAGCCTGTGTGTGTGTGTGTATTTGTTAGCAGCTCTGCCCTCTCGGTCTGCCAAGCAACAGCATTTGTTGCATTTTTCAAACATGAAGTGGGAGTGAAGTAAGTTTCTTGTAGGGGTTGACTTGCTCTACCACTTCATGTTTGAAAAATGACCGAGAAGGCGGAGCCGCTAACAAACACAGTGTACACAGGCTCACAATGGCATTGTGACATCATAATAGCTAACATCATAGCATACCTCTTAGCCAATAGTGGTGGCAGATTTAAATTCGAATACAGTGCAGAATTTTCCCCTGACGATGGTGCAGCACTGACATTTTTAGGAAGAATATTTAAATTTTTACTAAGATGCACTGAAGTGCCAAATTATTGAATACACGTGTCTACAGCACAATTAGACACTCGTTTATATAGCTTATCAGCAAAAAAAAAAAAAAGTTTATTTGGGGGTGACTTGCTCTTTAACAGTGTTGGGAGTAATGCGGTACAAATGTAATTAATTACTGTAATGCATTGCTTTTTGCTGTAATGTGGTAATGTAAGGCATTACAGGGAAAGAAAATGGTAATATTTACTCGGTACAGTTGTCAGTAACACAGTAATTATAATGTATTTTTAAACCCAGAATCAAGATGTGGGTTTCCTAAAAATTCAAATTGCAGGAAGCCTGAAAAAAACATCCAGTATCCACATATATGACGTCATTTATGGACTCAGCTTTGCGGGCATTCTATGAGCAGAGAGGACGCAGTGGTAATGGCTCAAATACTCCAGCTGTGTCCTGCATGCGGCCGCTGTTATATTCACAAAATCGCTCCACCAAAACAAAGTAATTTGTTTGCGATCGTTTATATCAGCCCATATTCTCTGGTACTTCATGTACTTTTCAGCTGAGTTCATAATCTGTGCCCCGGTGATTTCAAATCATTGCTTCTGGTGTGCAGCGCATATTAAGCTTTTATTTTTTTCTATTTATTTATTTATTTATTTTGCGTTCGATAGATCCCTTTGCATGGACGTAATTTTGGGGGTGGACAGGGGGGACATGCCCCCCCCCCACACACACACACACACTCACACACACACTTTTTCCAAAGTCAAGTTTTGACCCCTGCACTTTTTACCATCCAAAAACAATATTACTCTACATTAAATTGACACTGGTTGAGCTCTATAGGACCAAGTGGAAAACAACCGTTTGTGTTGAAGCCTGTTTCCCATTAGAACATACTGTAAAGATCCCCCCCCCCCCCCCCCCCCCCCCCCCCCCCCCACACACACACACACACACTTATAAAGTGAAAATTACGTCCATGTCCCTTTGGCTGATTAGTTAGAAAGTAGGAAATCTAGGAAACGGATTTTCTGGAAGACGGAGAAAACATGCAGCATGCAGGAAGGTTAGAGAGAGAAAGGGCCGGAAATTATTCAAATAAAATTAAGAAAACAAAACAAAGTGCTTGAAAAGAAAAAAAGTAGGTAGATTTATCCCCAATACACATTTTTACCAGTGAAAAGCAATAATATATAAGCATTTAATATTTATACTTGTGATAGAATCAGATCACCCCACAAGTCAGTCCCACATCCAGGGCCGTATCAAGGCATTTGAGGACCAAGGCAAATATAGGCTTGAAGCCCCCACCACCTCACTCTCTGCTCAGTTAATATAAGATGGCAGCGTGCTGAGAGTACAGATTGTTGTTGCTTTTATTTAATAAACAATCATTTTAAAGCACTGTTATTATATCTGACTGTTTTTAACAGCAATCCTAGCTCAGATATCACTTTCCACTTATATGTCATGAGCTCACTGAGCATCAGATTACCAGATTCATATAGAAGTTGTTTTGGTGAAAGTAACTTAAAGTAATGCAAAAGTAGTGTAATGCCTTACATTTTAAAATCAGTAATATTGTAATGTAATGAATTACTTTAAAATGAGGGTAACAAGTAGTAAATATTGCATTCCAGTTTTGAAGTAACTTGCCCAACACTGCTCTTTAACAATATTCCAATATTAATAGTCCTGGTTTCTGAAAAGTTCTGTACATTTGAATTCTCATTCTTCCCCCAACTGTATTTTTCACCAGAGATTTAAAAAAAACCATCAACCACAAAAAGCAGCCCCCAGTTACTCTCTTTCGACACAGGTTAGAGTTTATGAGAGCAGACTTCCTGTTTTCACAGAATAACGGAGAATTTGGGATGGATAAAACGACCCCAGCGCCCCCTGGTGGTAAAAGTCCGTGCTCAATGCAAACTACATTTCTTTTACTTAGATTTTTTTCCTGCATAAATCACAGTTAAATTTATAAAATAATATAATCGGCTTTAGACTTTTAATGTCCACCCCAAGAAGTAAAATATTATTTTTGACCTATCATTGTTTATTTCTAAAATAGAAAGTTTTAGTTTCTGTTCCAGGTTGGTTCGTATAGCTGCAACAAGTTACGGAGAATAAAAACTGTTCTAACAGATTATTAATTAAGAGATGTAAAAAGTTGTCCGGCTGCACAGATTATCAGACCTATTCTGTTGTCCTTCACTATGCCTGTTAATCTAGAATTTCTAGTTTTTATTTGTTACTTCAGAATTAATTATAAGAGAATTTCTGTGTTTATACACTTTCAGCAAGCTGATTTCGGATATTAATTTTAAGGTTCTTAGTATTTTTTAAAACCAAGATTTTTAGCCAAAGATTTTCAGGAAAATATATTTCGAATTAGGCTATAGTTTCAATTTCATAACAAAAAAATTCAATCATGTACAATATGTTTGAGGTCATATTTTTATTTTTACTACTATTATTGTTATTTCATAATTCATTCATAAAAACTTCAAAATGTTGTCCTTCCTTCATGATTTATAAATCACTTCATTTCTTTTAATTTAAACTAGAAAATATGAAGATGTTTGAAAACATGAAAGAAATACAGCACTTGAGCTTTATTAGGTAACACATCAACTATTTATTTAATAAAACCTCACAAATGGACATGTTCAACACAAAAAGCTCCAAATTGAAATTAATTAGTAAAGTTCCATAAAGAAAATGAGCATCTCCTCCTTTTGCTCTTTAGGCAGATGTTGGATGTTTGTTCTCAAGTAAATTGTTGAACCTTTTTTTTTAAGTTGCCCGTCCTATTTTTGTGGCGGTTAAGATGGCCTGCAGTTCCAGAACTCATGGCAGACACACTGGCAGACCCCAAAGACCATGATGATGACGAGGCTGGCTGGCACCAAGCTCACCAGCAGCACTCCAGCTGTGGTCCTCTGCATGATCAGCAGGTAGACGCCCATCGGCAGCGAGCTGAAGTACAGGAGCCCCAGAACCCACACCAGAACCCGGGCCGAGGTCTGGCACAGGAGGGCCACACAGTTCCAAACCGTCCACCTCTGTGTGATGGATGCCAAAGAGTCCAGACTGGAGGAGCTCTGGTCTAATGCACGAGAACCAGCTTGGAGTTCTTGGGCGGTTGCTGATGCTGGTGGAGGCTCCATGATGGTGATGACCACAAAGTTGGGGGAGCTCCGGATGGTGGAGTATGAGGTGGTGGAAGAGGTGTAGGACCTGGGAGAAGCATTACCAGCCATCAGAGAGCTCAGGCGTCTGGGACTGAGGAGCAGCTCTGTTGTGTCCTGGTGGAAGTGCACGTTCCTCTGGTTCCTGCTTTGCAGAGCCAGCGTCGCCACCAGGTTGCAATCATCTGGTAGATTTCTCACGGTCTCTCCTGGCAGTCTGGTGACACAGCGACAGAAAGGACACACCAGGATGTTTGAAGGTAACTCACCGAGGTCCAAGATCTTAACAAGACATTTGGAACAAAGACGGTGGCAGCACTCGAGGACCTTTGGTCTACAACTCCCCAGATTGTATGCAGAGTAGCAGATATTACACTCCATCTCCTCAGAACTCAGTTTATCTGAGATGGTGACATCATTGTCCTCCGGGCTTTGCAGCTCAAGCATCATCCTTTATCCTTCTCTGAGATCAGCAGAAAAGTCCTCCCGAAATCTCAGATCTACTCAACACTGTAGAGCTCAAAACAGTTACTAGGGATGGAGCCGAAGTCCGGTTTCCGCTTGACTGAAGGTGCAGAGGACATGGTGGCCATCCAGCAGTTTTCTGCTGCTCTGACTGAGATTTCTCTGTGAGAATCAGAGCTGATGTAGGAAAGCCCTCGAAGGTTCTGGCCTCTGAGCTCCGCCTGAGCAGTTGGGGTGACTGTGGCTTTCATGGGCGACAGAGGATGAGATAACTGTTAACACAGCCAACAGCGGCAAAAGCACAACAAAGCAGAGCCTGTCAGACCAGAGCTGGAATTTTCGAGTCTCATCTTTTGTTGCTGAGTGAAATTCAGTCCAATTAGTGACCGATGGACACACACAGACTCACAAAAGACACTTGGGGTGCACAGATTTGATGTGCAAGTGCAAGAAAACATGAATGAGTGCAAATGATTTAAAATTTGCTCCAGGTGCTCCTTGGTTAGATTGTGTTTATCAAACAGAAATAAATGCAAAGATGATCATCTGCCAATAAATCCTCAGATGAGTTTTCTTCTAAAGACATAGCTTTAAATGTCATATTTTCTCTTTACAATGCAACGGACTGGAATGACTCTTATTTTCCCTTCTTTGCTCGGGACTACAAACAAAACTAAACTTCTAGAGAATCTGCAACTTCCTACATGTCATGTCCCCCCTAAAGGAGGACAGTCGCTGCAGAGGGTGAAGGCTGACTCAGGACAGGATTTAAAGATTAAACAGGCACAAGTATCAAACACAGTCAACTGAAAGCATTGTTTCCTATAAGAGATGTTTAACTAGTTGCTTATAATTTATGTATTTGATTATTTTGGCAAAAATCAACAAGTCCTTGCTAAAACGAGTCTTTATTTTAGTTTAAAGCAAAAGTTTTGATATTTTCTCTCTTGAATCAGCCATAAACCTCCTGGAAGTTTGACTCTGTGATGGTGACCTGGTGAGGAAGCTAGTCTGGCAGCACAAAGTAGAGCAGGACATTGTTGGAAACCACAGCTTGGCAACAAGGTCTCATCTTGATTCACAGTCAGAACGGTTCAGGCAGCGTTAAAAAAAAATGGGTCAACATTTTTTCTGTTGTTTTTTTTCCCTCAAGTGTTCACAAGACCCATTCATTTAAACTCCTAAATGTCCTGAATGAGCTTCTAAAGGGACATCTCTAACTATTTATCTCTTTTGTTGAGACACAGAATTTACTTGACACTCAAAATAAACACTTTAACCTTGAGAACATTCAAATAATGAAGTATTGTTTTGCATCTTTTAATTATTTGAGGCATTAACATGCCAGGTTGAGTTTGAGTCCTAACAGGTAATTCAAGTTATAAAGTGTTCATCAAGAAGTGATTAAAACAGCAAAACCTGCTTTTCCCAATTTGTAAAAAACAAAAAGTAAATCAGAACTGCATCAGACCATCTGTTTTTATGACTTAAACAAATTTGTTCTCATGCATAACTAAGTTCTCTTGCAACAATAGAAAAACAATGGTTTTGGAGTACAATAAATCCTGTTTTGGAGTACAATAAATCCTGTTTTGGAGTACAATAAATCCTAACAGTTAAACTGCTGATTTGAGTTCTGCCATAGCAGAGAAATAGCTGTATTATTTCGTATTATTTATTTTTGGTCAAAACCACTTCAGAGGGACTGAAGCCCAGATTTGTGACGTGATATAGTGTGTGCTTTATTTTGAAAATACCAAACCGGAAAAGATGATAATTGATGGAGCCTTATTTCTGCTAGAGGTGGGGAGCGGCGAAGGGTTTAGTCATGCTGAAGAGCCGGGAAGCAGGTACGTCCGGCGGCGGGGAGGCGTTAGCCGGGTCGCGGGGACCACCGGTGCCACCAAGCCGGGCTCCGCCCGAGGAGAGTACACCTTCCGGCCGAGCAGGGATTCATCTCACCGGCCTGGTCAGCTGGAAGCAGAACCTGTGCAGGACTTCAGCCTTGTTTGCTGCAGCCAACACGGTGATGTGGTAGGCATCATGACGCAGGGATATGCTCAGCCGCAGTCTAATAATAATAATAATAATAATAAGAAGAAGAAGAAGAAGAAGAAGAAGAAAAATGAGAAGAAGAAGAAGAAGAAGAAGAAGAAGAAGAAGAAGAATACTAACATTACCTCTCAGGTGGATGAATGTAATGTAATTGATTTTGAGACTTATTTTATTTTATGAACTGCACAGCTTGACAAGAGACTAGTGTCATAACAAGAACAAGGATTAAACCTTGCATCATGATGATTTCCGGAAGAAGAAAAAAAACCTAAAGTGAAATCAGCAAAAGGATCTGATTTAGTTCAAACTAAGAAATCAAAATAAATTTATGATAACTTGCTTTGGTTTATTTGCTCAGATTTAGTTATTTACTAAATTTAAATTCACAGATAAAATAACTTCCAGGACATAAAAACTCTGTGTAACAATAAATCCTTTTTTATTTATTTCTTAATAAAATAATGAAGAATTTTTTTAGTTTCATTGGGAAAATGTCTGTTTTCATGCAAAAATAAACTTGTTCTGCTTCACGTGACACTTTGATGTTTCCCAGTATAAATGCAATTGGCTTCTAACAGGTAAACCTTTATGTCTGCAGGTTTGTTGCCTTCAGCTCTCTGCGAGTCTTCAGCCTCCTGGCCATCCTGCTGGCTCTGCTGGTTGCCATGGTAACAGTCAGAGACGTGATTCGGACCAGATCCACAGGTAACACGTAAACACCTTTCTCGTGAAGGAGCCAATTTAACAAAATCTTCTGTTTCTGCGACAATAAACAAAATTATATATAAAAATGTCAACAATTAATGTTAATGTTGAATTATAAAACATCCTAAAGTAAAGGTTAGGTTTGAGAAGTTACACCTGAATGACTGGCAAGGCACCTGGAATTGGGTTGGAAATAAGAAATGAATGTGGAGATGCTTACCCATAATGCACAGCGGTACATAGCAACAGTCATTAGAACAAACAGGCTGTTCTAGCATGGTGGGGGAGGACCATCGACATATACATATAGGAGGACTGATGATTTGGGCTCATTCTGCAGCTCATAACTGTCCCCTGAGTCCTTCAAAGTGAGATCATCAGCTGAAGATGTGACCTACCTGGGTCATGACCTCCAGAAGAAACAAGTCGTCAGATCTCACCTTAATTTTCTCACACTTCCTAATTTCTACATGAAAGATGAAGCAGATTGGGTTTTACTATAAAATACGATAAATACCACAAAACATGGAGGTTTTATTCAGGCAGCTGCTAAATGATGAGAAATCTGATGCCTAATCCAATAATACAAGACAAAAAATTCCCCAAACTGTCACGTTTCAGTGTTGGTAGGACCCAAAATGCAGGAACCCAAGATGACACAAGGCAGGAGATGATATAAAGTAAAATCCTTTTATTAGGATGAATGAAACAAAAATATATCCAAATGGGCTGGACCCAAAAAACCAATAAATATCCAAAAGAGCTGAGCAGAGATCAAAACACTAGAGACAACACGAGAAGACTGACAGAATAACAACAATGGACCGACACAAGACAAAGACAAGACAGGGCTTAAATAACAGGGAGGAGTAATTAAGGGAACAGGAAGCAGGTGTGTGGAGTGAGGGCTGGAGGGGAGGCAGGTGGCAATAATTATCTAAATGGGGAAACAGAACCAAAGGAGGACAGATAAACCTAAAACTACGAATCCAAACTAAAAGGCTGCGGGAAGGACTAACACACACACACACACACACACACACACACACACACACACACACACAGACAGACATAAATAACTCACACACACACACACACACACACACACACACACACACACACACACACACACACACACACACACACACACACACACACACACACACAGTAACTGGAGGGACACAGGATTACTAAATGAACACCGGACCTGAGGGAATGATAAAAATGCCTACAAACAGAAGACACAATATTGAGACGCAGACAAAGGACACATGAGGGCGCTATGAGACACAGAAGGGAAACTAGAGAGGCTGGAGAAACATCGGGAGACACAAAAAGGAGGGGGCAGACGCAGACCATGACACAAACAGGAACACAATTTACTCAGTTTTTGTTAATTTAATCTAAATTACTCTTCAAATGGGTTACTTTACTGTTTTATTATAACAATGATGAATAGTTCATTTGTTTTCTCTTGACAGGAGCTCGTTTATGGCGCAGCATGACAACAAGGTAAGACCCTAAAGGTAGAGCTGCTCGATAAAAGGTACTATTACTTTTGTAATATTTCACACGCACAGTACTTAGAAACTATAAGATGAGGGTAATGCAGGAAGTTAAAACCAAAACGGACAATTTCATAGCAGCAGCATTTGCAGCAGGTGTTTTTCTTGCATTTAGTATTTTTATTTGTAATAATTGTTTAGGCCTAAAAAGCACCAGCACTGTGTGAAGGTGAGTGGGTGGAGCTTTCAGCCAACATAACAGAAACTCTTAAACATGAAATCACTGTTTTGTTTTTACAAAGTAAAAGTAAAATAAAGTCACTTACTATACATTTAAATAGTATTACATAATTAAAGTATTTAAAAAGTCCCATAATGCTACATTTAGATTAAATAAAGTAAGAGAATAAATACAGTGAACAGATATCAGCATAGATGGAACCTGGAAGTCTAAAAATCGTATTATTGTGGGGGTTCATGAATGCATCATTAACAAGGAGTAAGGGGAAAAAAATCCAACTGTTCTTTAGTCAGTGAACATACCGACTGAGTGGAAATTCCTTCTGTAGAAATTTAACGCATAACTCACCTTTTGCATCCTTTTATGCTGCCATGTGGGTCTCCACTGTCCCTATAAACATCGGTCAGTGTTTTAGGATTTATGTGCCCAAAACAAGCCATTTGAAAAAGTTTCAGTTTGTGATGTCACAAATGGGGAATGTAGAATAGAAGCTCCTGTCATGTGCAAAAGGGAGCTGCTGTTGGAAGATCGGTTTATCTGAGCTTCTCGGCCATGTAAATGTTACATGAATGTTGCTGTGACCATTTTACATGTTTGTCTTTTTGACAAACTCTGACGTTTTATTTGCAGATTGATTTGTTTATTGGCAGGACCGTGGATCCTCTTCAGCTGATTTCACGTGAAACTCTAAACTTCTCCATCTGATTGGGAGCTGCGGCTCAGTAGAGCTGATTGATCCCATATGATAGTCTAATCTAATCCTACTAACATCTTTTCCCTCAGACTGAATCATGTGATTTCTCAGACTTTTAACTTTACAGAAACACAAATCAGTGACTCAGGACTGGATGCATGACCTGAACGAGAAGTTAATTTGCAGATTAGTGGACTGGTAGGAATAAAAGGATAACCTTTAGTCTGCAGCATCTTTAGGGCTGCATTCATGGAGTTAACTTTTCCTTTTACCATTAATGGGTCCAACATATCAATGTTTTATGTTGAGGAGTGTTTATTTAAAGAAATAATGAACTCATAAATCACTCCGATCTGAACTTATTTTAGAGTTGCTGGATTGGCTTGATTTTTTTCTGACTTATGTTTTTAAACTATTCAGAGACTAAAATATTAAACTGTCTGGAGATGCACAACTGTAATTGGAATCTGCCAATGCTCAGCATAATTATGTTAAATAAAAAAATCAGCAGCTGATTGTGTTGTTACTAAAGCTGAATCAGTATCAGCAGGTCTCAGTTAAGCTAGAATTGGTGTGTTTCTTTGCCAAGTGAACTGGACCAAGTTCTTGCTTTGCAAAGTTTGAATAATACATTTATTTAGTCTGGCTTGCTAGGCTATGTGTTTCAAGTTATTTATGGCCTTTCTATTTTCTAAAGAAATTCAGAATATGGCTGTTGCTTTAAAATAGTTTTATTGACCATGAGAGACATCAAGCTGCAAAATCTCAAATGTATTCTATGGCAACATCAGTGTTGCAGAGAAATGTTCAAATCACAACAAACTGATTACAAACAGGAAGCAGTGGCCCAAATCTGCCTGTTATGGCTACATGTGACCCACATTGGATGTTTTATGATGGACTAAAAAGCACAAATCAGATTTTTTTACTGTGAAGTTTGACTCTATTTTTAAACTCAGTGTTGAACTCCTACTGTTGGACAGTCCAGGCCCAGTTCTGATGACCTGGCTCCCAGCCCTGACCCTGGGATGGTGAAAGTGTTTGTGTTTAGCGGTGGAGCCAGGAAGCGGTCCAGCACTCGATGCCACAGCTGGCTCGGTGGGATTCAGCGGAGGTGTCGGGGATTTGTGGGCGCCAGTCTGGATGCATCACATCTGAGTTACATAACAGGCCACTGGGCGAGTTTGGGTCAGGGACCAGATGGACAGGATGGACTCACTGTGTTTCCATGTGAAGATTAGAAACTGTCTAAGTCAGGATTCAAAACATCAACAAGCAGAACAATGAATTCTCAACACAGCGCCAAGGCGTTTCCGATTTTCTCTGGGATGGATTTGTCAACTCAGAGTTATGCGCCTCCATTTGTCAAACTCTCAGTCTCTGTGACATTTAGCCAAGCAGGATGGGAGGGTGTTGTTGTCACCTGCTGTTGTCTGTCAGTGGTGTGCTGTGGGTAATTGTACATCAGGCTTAGAGCAACTCTTGGGCAAATGCTTGCAGGAGATTAGATGCTCACACAATATGTGAGCTGACAGCTGTGGAGTGTGTGGAGCCCACGGTGTGTTTGTGTTAAAGTGTGTAGATGAGCAAAAAAAGTCATGGATGAACTGAACTCTGTGGTGTACTTCCTTTATTCAGTCTGTTTATTTACTCGTGTCAACACTGGCTGCCCTGCAGCACAGCTGTAAACACAATATAAACACTAAAGATGTCATGTTGTTTAATAAGACCACATTGGTGCTAGATAACGCTAAATTGGACAAACAGGATCCCCACATGACACTTGTTATAACCATTGATCACCAGCAGGGGGCAGCACTGTAACCAATGCCTAATTCATTAGAACTAATGGTTACTGTGCTGAATAATTATTACAGAGAGCAGTGTCGTGTCCAGATCTTTTAAAATGGGGTGGCCCAGGTGAGGCACAACTTTGTGCATGGGTGGCACCAATGGTTATGCATTTTTTGTTTTACCCCAAGCTTTTGTGGACAATGAAAAGTCTATTTAAAGGTAAATTAGTATGGTGGCACCTGGGGTGGCCGATCAGATTCCAAGGGTGGCATGTGCTACCCCAGGCCACTCCCTGGACACGCCCCTGACAGAGAGATTGTAAAAGTTGCTTTCACTTTCTTTGACTCCATGTAAGAAAGTAAAGCTCATTACTTTTAGAAAAAAAGAGGAGCGTTGTGACCACTCACCTGTGGCAGCACCCTCATAAAAACTATGAGGGATGTGAGTGGATCATTTTCTTTCCCTTTTCGCGGAAAGAAACATTTCCCCATTATTAAAATAAATATCATTGTCAAAAGTTGGAAACTTGACATTTATTGCTTTATTAATGAAATTAGCGAAATTAAAATTTTTTATTTTATTTGCGAGGAGAATTTAAAGTAAACTAAAATGAACAAATGACCAGCATCAGAGTAAGAACACAGGAAACACATTGCATAACTATCAGCTTTTAAAGCACACCTGAGCTTGAAATGGGTCTGGGTGAGTAGAGCTGCAGCAGGTGGGGGTCAGCCGACGTGATGTCAACAAGCTTTGGGAACTTAATGATGTTATGATGTTCCCCATGATGTCCCAACAGGTGCAACAGGAGGGGAAGAACAAGCTGCTCCTTTCACGTGTGTGTGTGTGTGTGTGTGTGTGTGTGTGTGTGTGTGTGTGTGTGTGTTCGAGGAGTTTTAACAATTAGAATAAATGTTACACAACTTTTGGTAATTTTTGGTTTCAAAGCTTGAGAAGAGTCACCGTGGTGCTGCCTGTTCCCACAACAAACTCCAAGTTTCTTAATAGTTGTGAAACCTGATCACTGTGGGTGGGGTCAGTCAGTGTGTGTGTGTGTGTGTGTGTGTGTGTGTGTGTGTGTGTGTGTGTGTGTGTGTGTGTGTGTGCGTGTGTGTGTGCATGCGTGCGTGTGTGCGTGTGTGTGTGCATGCGTGCGTGTGTGTGTGTGTGTGCGTGTGTGTGTGTGCATGCATGCGTGCGTGTGTGTGTGTGTGTGTGACTCAGCTACTTCTCTTGCAGGAAGTGATTCAGAAATGGCCAAGCTGAACCAATCAGATCACTTTACACTGGGGGTGTGAGCCACAGAACAGCTTCTCAGATTGGACTGAATACAAACAACGTTACAGCTACATGCAGATCATATGATTCAGTTATTTATAAAATGAAGGTTTTCATCTAAAACAGATTTCTTTAATTGAATAACTTAAGTTTACCTCTAAAAATATGATGTTTAGAGAGAAATCATTACAAATGTGCTGCAGTATTCTCTCTCTTCATGCTCAGAGCAAAGCTTATAGAAAAGCACACAAACCGTAACAGTTTTGAATGTTAAGCCAGTTCTTTGCTGCTGGCAACAAGTTAGAGACACAAAAATGTGAGGAGGTACACACATTTTTAGTTGGAGTCACTGAATCAACACAACAGAGAAACGTTTCAGAGACGGCTGAGTCTCAGTTTATGTGTGTTGATGTGAGTCACGCATGGCCAAAGCAGGTAAGTCCCCCTGACGTTATCCCACACGTCTCAGTACACGTCAGCAAACTGACAAAAGCTCCAGGTGCTCGCGCCGATGCTGGGACTCATCATGAAGCTGGTGCTTTTTCAAGAGAAAATCAATCTGCCTATCTCCAGCGATCGACGGGCAATCAGGCGGGGTACACCCTGGACAGAGAGCCAGTCCATCGTAGAGCAACACTGAGACACGCAGGACCAACAATCATGCACACACACACTCACGCCTAAGGACAATTTAGACAGACCAATTAACCTAACAGTCATGCTTTTTGGACTGTGGGAGGAAGCCGGAGTACCCGGAGAGAACCCATGCTTGCACCGGGAGAACATGCAAACTCCATGCAGAAAGATCCCAGGCCGGGAAGCAAACCCAGGACCTTCTTGCCGCAAGGCAACAGCTCTAACCACTGCGCCACTGCACAGCCAAATTAGAAACAATAAAATAAATCTAATGGTGTGAATATTTTCACTCACGGCAGTGTTTGGAAAACGCTGTAATCAACCTACAAATGAAGGCCCCCCCACCCCGTGTCACGGAGAGAAA